CTTTTCAATGTAATATTTTCACTCTTGGCCAGAAAATATAATTGGCAGTTGAAACTGAAACCATAATGAAACACTTTTTAAGTGAGCTACATTGTTAAAATCGTACCTGAAATCCTCCACCACCTGCGGCTGAGTGTCGGCGGTCCCAGCGACAGACAGGGCTCTCTGTGGGTGAAAGACGGGATCGGTAGGTGGTGGTCTGTATGACGGGGCCTGAGGAAGCGAGGCGGCCCTCATTGCAAGGTGGCTCCGAGACACTGCAGTATGTCCTGAAAGCTTCTGTCCAGCCAAACTTGGAGGTCCGTGATCAACATCGAGTTTAGGCTGAGGTTCTGAGGGGTGATTGGAGCTGTTGGGGCTGGTTGGTTCAGCCTGGTTGCTCAGCTGCTGCGGTTTAGGAGATTCTGGAGGTTTGGGCTCCGATACGTCGATAGATCCTTCCACCCGCGGGCTCCTCTGAGGCCGGCGTGGCCTGGATGGAGCCGCTGGTGGTGTAGAAGGGGCAGGAGAAGATGTGGAGGATGGGGATGTATCTGCTGGTCCTTTTGGTTGTCCAGATGATGCCAGATCATTAGTCTTGCACTGGCTTTGAATATGTTGCTCTGGTTCCATCCTTATCTAGCAAAATGAAGCACACTGGTGGATCAATCAGCATGTGCATTTCAACTACATTTACTTGTTAACTACATTTTCGATTGCTCCTTGGTAAAACTCCTGATAGAATCACAATGAGGCATTTAAAAACAAACATGGCATGACAAAATAAAGGCTGCTCATATAACGTTCATATACTGTTCCCATTTATTTCCAAATCCAAAATGGTTTGAATGAAATGATGTAAACAGCAACACCTTGTTAAAAGGAAGCACACTTTAGCATACTTTTAAAAAGAATACTTACTACAGAAATAATATACTTTAGTGCAAACTGAATGTAATGTTTCAAACACTTGAACTGCATGTTAATCACGACTAAATGAAAATGTACAGAATTTTACTGAAGTTGGACTTAAAGGGGTCATTTGGTTTCAAGTTCTCCTTTCTCTTTGGCGTGATACAAGCTGTTCGTGAATAGATAAGATCACTAAAGTTGCAAAGAC